TTTTTCCTCTCTTGCTATGACAGTTTAACTCAAGGATGAGTTTGTCTCATGATTTATATCACAAAGGGCATAAATGAGCTTGCCTGACAGGGTGAAATTGGAAAGTCCTCTTGACATAGAGCTTTGTGCTTTTAGAAATAATTGAATTAAGGTAAACAAATTTAAACAACACTGCAACTCAGGCTACTCATTCCCAAACCCACTTGGAAGGGCTCAGCTTTTGCTATAGTGAGAAATACTGTTTCCGTAGTGTTTCCGCCGTCTTCAATTTTCATTCCTGCCCTAAGATCAGAAAGGCATGAGTGTGAAGCAAGAGTGGTGTGACCCATTACTGCCCCCCACTAGCTCTGCCTGGGTCTGAAAACAGAACTTGAATACTAACTTTGGAAATGCATTAAGGCTTATTCTTGGACCTAGGCATCCATAGGTGAGTATTCACTTGGTTTAACAATGAGAACTTAACTGATCAACTCTAGAACTAATTCTCAGCATTACAGCAAAGACTTCCAAAGTATTTGTAAATAGTAGCTAGCAGTAAAGATGTCTTTGGTATTGAATATTCGTTATTGTCTGGTTTCTGAGCCAACTCCATTCATTTAGTCACCACTGAAGCCTATGTGCCCAGGCTTGTTCTAGGCAGTAGAGATAGATGATACATGAGAATCTGCCCTTATAGGCCTGACATTGTAGAGAAGATGGACACAGAAGTTGCACAATATCTTATAAGGTGCTGTGGAGGGAATCCAGGAAAGGGCATGGGATGCACAGACTGGAGTAGGAGGCATGGGGTTACATTCGGGTGATAAGTCATGATCACACTCAGTGACATTCTAACGAAGTTTTGATGGAGATGAGGGTGGGAATTATGCTGGTATCTGGAGAAAGTTTTCTAGTTAGAAAGAGGAGCAAGGCAAAGGAGACAGCCTGACTGGCAAGTTCAGAGGCAGCAAGGAAGGCAGAAGGGCTGGAAGGAAGCAAACTTGTCCTGACCTGGTGGAAGGGGTGAAGGTCTCTTTAATTAGGGTGCTAAACCAACCCATGAGGGCTTCACCCTCGTGGTCTGACCACCTTCCACAGGCCTTAGCACCTTAGCCCCATAACCTAGAGTGTTAGGATTGTACTACATGAATTTGGCAGGAACACAAACATTTAGACTATGACAAAAAGTAAAGGCAGATGACATCCTATCTGCCCAGGTGGACAGTATAGACAGTAAGCTTTATAGACTGTGAGAGGAGTTTGGCTTTTACCTGGAGACAACTGAACCAGCTGGAAGGTGTGGAACAGAACAGGGACACAATCTAGAAAGGACTGGAAAGGATCCCTCTGGCTTCTGGGTTGAGAAGGGAGCAGAAGGGGGCAAGTTAGATGTTTAATGCAATAATCTAAATCACTTCTAAGAGGGCCTGGAGCAGGATGGGGGTAGGAGGAACACTGAGGAATGGTGAGATTCTGAGAATATTTCCTAAGGGGAGCCAAGAGGGTTTCCTGATTGAATACATTGCCTAGGGTTCCCAAAGACTGCTTCTGCTCATGTGCAGTAAAAGCTCTCTTTACCATTGTGCACACAGAGGACTTCCAAATCAGGTGCTACCCATTGTCCTCTAAGCACAGACAGCACACAAGATACCTGACCTTGGTGGCCAAGAGTCTCCTCTCTACTGCATCTGAGCCTCATTATCCTCAACTCTTATTCTCAGCAAGTGAGCTGTTCATGCACTGAGTTGCTGAATTCTTTCCAAAACTATATTCCAATTTTATTTCATAATTCAATTGATTAAATGTAGTGGAGAATGCTGGAACACTGGAAAGCTTGCAATTTGAGTTTGAAAACAAAGAATTAAAGACCTTACAAAGGTTGTTGAATATGAGTCCTAAAAGCTGACTCTCTTCTCTGTTGGCTGTTGCCCTTGCTAAGCAGAAGCTTTGCAATTCCCTATGATGCCGCTTGCTAATTCTTGGCTCTACCTCTTGTGCAATTGTGATTCTGTTTAGAAAATTCTGTTTAGATGGGTAGCACCTGGTTTGACAGTCCCCTGGGTGCACAATGGTAGAAAGAGAGCTTTTACTGCAGAGGCAGTCTCTGGCTATTTGGCTATTCCTATGTCTTCAGTTTTACTTATTTTTAGTAGATTACTTGTTTCAATATTTACACCCTTAATTCATTTTCATTTTAGTTTAGTACCATATTCAATCTTCTGCATATTGATGACCAGTCTTCCTTGCCCTCAATCCATTTATTAAAGAGGTTATCTTCACTCCAGTGTGGTTTTGTTCCTTTGCCAAAGATCAGAGAGCTGAATGTGCTAGGGCCTGCTCCTGCATCCTCCATTCTATTTCACTGATCCGCATGTCTGTTTTCGTGCCAGTACCATGCTGTTTTTATCATGGTATTTTTGTAACATAATTTGAAGTCCCTGATAGTGAGGCCTCCTGCTTTGCTCTTACTGTCCAGGATTGCTTTTTGCTATTCTGGGTCTCTTCTGGTTTCATATGAACTTCTAGGATTGTTTTCTGTAGTTATGTGAGGAATCTTTATCAGTATTTTTGACTGGAATTGCATTAAATTTGTGTATCAAATTTGGAAGTATGGCCATTTTGACAATATTGTTTCTGCGTACCCAGGAACAGGCAGTATCTTTCCAATTTCTGATATTTTATCTCCTCTTATGGAGTAAAAATTTTGGCCAGCTATTTATCAGAGGACTAGTATCTAGGATATAAAGATTCTAGACATATAAAAATTAGACTCCCCCAAAGTATAAGACCCAATTTTAAAATGGGCAACTGGAATGAATAGACTTCTCAAAAATGCACACATGGCCAATAAATATATGGAAAAAAAGCCCTACATTGCTGGTCCTAAGGAAATGCAAATTCAAACAACACTGAGATTCTATTTAACTCTTGAAAGATGGGCATTATCAACAAATCAAATAATGAACACGAGCAAGACTGTATGGAAAACGAACCCATCTACACTGTTGACTGGAACGTAAACTCGTACAACCTCTATGGAAAACACTATGGGGATTCCTCAAAATACTGAAAATAAAATTTCCACTTCGCCCAGTTATGATCCTTCTTGGTATCTTCCTGAAAGAGCTAAAGACATCAGACTTCAGCAATACATGCACACCCATGTTTGCGGCAGTACGGCTCATAATCACTGATCTTGGAAGCAGCCTGTAAGCCCAACACAGACAAATGGATAAAGGAAAAGTAGTAGTCAGGCAAGCGCTGATCCTACTGAGCTATCTCCCCGGCCCCCCAAAGTAGTACTCAGACGCAATGGAGGACTACTCCGCTATAAAGATAAGCTTGAGTCACTTGTAGGAAAATGTGTGTACCTGGTGACCACAATGTTAGGTGAAATAAAGCAGACACAGAAGCTCAACTATCACATGATTTCTCCTGTATGGAAAACCCAATATGTAAGTAAAAAACAAAAGGCATATAGTAGGAAATAGGGAGAGAGATCTTTTACAAAAGGGAAGAGGACCAAGACAAGTAGGGAAGGGAGGAAAGAGGATAAAAATATTAACATGTGTTATTACATGGACCAATTCCACACACGAATATAATCATTATGTACTGCAAACATGCATCATAAAAAAGAAAAAAATGTAAAATTAGAGAGGAAAAGTATAAAAATCCAGAATGTCTATGCCCTTAGATAGCTTTAATATTTTCACATTTCTCTGGTAAAGAAATTAAAATGAGAAATCATATTTTAGAAACCATATTTACTGGGGTGTGGCAGTTACGCAAGAACAACAGTGTAGACCTAGCCGTAGACGCAGGCTTCACTGAAGGGCCTTGGCTTCCCTGCAAAGACAGGCGGTGCATGTGCAGAGACCATTCAGTACCACACAGGGACTGTGTCCAAGGCCCCCACGGACACCCAAAGCCACAGGTGCTCACATCTTCTAACATGGTGTGGCTCACACGTAATCTATGCATCACCTCCCATGTGCTGCAGCACCTCAGGCTGATGTAAATAGTGGCCATACTGTACTGGCTCAGGAATAACAAGGACAGAAGTCTGCACTTCAGTGAAGGTGACATATACACACACATACACACACACTCCATCCAAGATGGGTTGAATCTGTGGATATGGAAGCCATGAATATGGAAAGCGGACTTACATATTTACAGAAAATATTTCATTTCCTTTTCTCCAGCTTTTTTCCCTTCTAATTAACTGAGAAACTGTCTATTCAGATCTCATTGGAGATGACTGTTTTTGCTGAATGTTGTTAATTTACATACTCTAAAAATGTCCTTGCTGACAACATATGCTTTTTTTGCACCATATTCTATTTCTCCACTCTGGTGCATTTTGGGCCAGAAGTCCTGGGTTTTCGTGTCTAATGTCTGTGAAGAATGAATTCACTCTGACTTCAAATCAGCTCTTTAAATTGGACTGCGAGAGAAATACACAACTTGAGAGCCCACAACCAGCCAGAGCATAAGGCAGACTTCTAAAAACTGTAACCCCGTCCCTGTATCACCCACAGAATGTGCTGTGTGCAGCAAGGCTCTGAGAAGTGCTTGACTAAGGACACCCGATTTCACTTACATCAGGGAGGTACCTTCACTCCCGCGTTCACTCATCAGGGTTCCTAAGAGGCAGGGAACGGAATCAACCTCCGGGAGTATCAATGATGAGGAGAACGCAGGATATCTGCACAATGAATGCTATTTGGTCTTAAAAGAAGAGGAAATCTTGTCATGTGCAACAGCACAGATGAAACCGGAAGCTACAATGTTAAGCAAATAAGTCAGACTTGAACACCCCACCATCTCACTTAAATACAAACAAGCAGACAGCGGAATGGGAGTTACTGCGGGTGGGCAATGGAGGATTGGAAAGATGCTGATCAAAGGAACAAAACGTCAAATAGGTGGAAAAAGATCTATTGTGCAATGAGGTCACTGTCATGCATAACAACATATTGTATACTTGAAAGTTGTAATACAGTAGCCTTCAAGCATTCTCACCACCAAAAAGCGAGAAAAAGTTTATTAATATAACATAGCCATTGCATAATGTACATATTCCAAACCATCACATGCTATAAGATAAATGTGTGATTTGTCATTTTTTTTTTTTAATCTAAGGACATTAGAAGAAAAAAAAATATGGAGGGTTATTTTCCTTTTTAATTGTAGAGGGGAAAAAAATCCATCCTTTGACCCCCAGGGGGTGTAGGGTAGAAAGACCTCAGAGCTGAGGGGTGGAGCTTTCCTTGGCACTTCTGCCACACCAGGATTGCCCTAGCGCACAGGGCAAGTGGCCCATGCCCACGTCACCGAGTAGCAACATGGGACGCTGCCACGCACAGGGGTTGCACACCTCTAAAGCGATCTCTGTTTTTTGGCAATGGTAGTAAATACTGCAAATGATAAAAACCTCTTTATCACTTTACATTCTCTTCTACAGAAGTGGAACCTCTGGGCCTCTCTTGCACTGAGAATGTCCCTAGCTCTACCTCCTCCATCTCTGCGAAGGTGGGAGGAACCTGCAATGCTCCGGGCTTTCCTTCTTATGAGAAACACAAGAATAGAATGAAAAGACTTGAACTCGGCTACATTGTGCAGCTTCTAAGTTCTGAATGTTCTGTACTGCTGCCACAGATTTTCCTGTCAAGACAGGAAACAAACCCAAGCATCCCTCTCCTGAATTTTCCCTGACACTTCAGTGATATTCCTCAGATGTCTAGAGTGGTTCTACTAACTGAACAGCATTTTTCTCTGCAGTATTTTATTAAGTGCTTCAAGCAATAATAGCAGTACAATATTTGCACCAAGAATATCATATACCAACTTAATTGCTGCATGAATGCATTAAGTCACTGAAATTAACATGATGAGCACATCATGGAAAAATGCCCCTCCAACCAGGAAGGTGCATATTAACCATTAATAGACAAAACTTTCTTCAAAAGACAGAGATAATGGGGAACAGTATGTCGCGGTCAGAGCTCATCTACGTCTGTGACTCCAAAGACGGAAGATTTTGGAGGAGACGGCTCAGGAAGGTCTCCAGCCGCTTCCTGGACCTGTACGCGATCAGTCCTCCCTTGTTGGCCCAGCGATCCACCCCAGTGGCCCCCTCATTTTCCACGTGGTACCGCAGCTCCGGCAAGCACCGCCCGACCCCTGCATCTCTGTCTAAACATTCCTTCATGTCCACCATGCCCCCGCCCATGGCCCTCAGTATGGCGTGCGCAGCGCAGGAATCCCACTTGAAGGTGGTATCTTCCGAAAAGATGTAAATGTCCACGAGGCCTTGGACCACACAGAGGCTCTTGTAACCGGCCCCAGCTGCCCGGAAGATGCTGTCCCCACACACTCGCGACAGTGCGGTTTTGATGGTCTCCTTTTCACTTGTACTAATGACAGCGGAGAAAGGGTGGGGGGATTCTGCCTCACAGCTGGCATTTTCAGTCTGGCTGTCGCTGCTGCTGCTGCTGACTTTAGAGACAGCAAGCTGGAGGGAATGGATGTTGGTCCCCATGTAAGAAAGGCCCCAGTAGCACTCTCCTTTCCACCTGGAGAAAAAAAAAAATTCAGCTGATGGAGGTGATTCTCAACATTTTTTTGTTATTCAAATATTGCCTCCAAATGTAATGATATGAAAAAAAATGCATGACTCATCTTAACATAATGAGTTTCAAAATTCTTTGGCCTGAAAACAGATCTCAAGTAACTCATTCTTTTCTAAAAGTTACTCATACGCATGCAGCAGCCGGCACTATGACAGTTAGGAATGTTTGCAGTTTTATCACATCATCACATTGAAGTAGGACAACCCCAAAATATTCCTGGGATTTCCAGTCTCCAGAAGCTGCAAACTTTTATTATCACTTCTGGCACTTTAAGCTTAGTAGGAGAAAAGGTGAACAGATACATCACTCTGAAGATCTCTCACAGGCTTTTTAGCATGTTAGTTTTTGTCATCAACTAGTCCTTTTTATTCTTGGACGCACTCATTCCATTCTGACTCGTGACAAGAACAGACTCATTGTGTTATTTTTGGCAACAATGACAATAACAGCACTTCATCAATGTTTATCTTGTTTTCTATGTTGGGTAATTCACTCCATTTGCAGAAAAGGAAACAGGCTTAGAAAAAGTAGATAACTTGCTGTGGCCCACGCAACTTGATGTTGCAGAACTGCTTCACACCCCGAGGGTCTCCCCCAACACCTGTGGCACTACCTGCCTGGTGAGCACCTCCTGTTCTAGGCCAGGACTTCTGCACACCGGCCCAATACTTTTTCATTTCTTACTGGCCTTTTAAAGATAATGGAAGGAGTTATTTGGTTTGGAAGAAAAAAGCAGAGGTAGAGGAAAAATATCGCAGTTCCAGAAATGTAAACTGATGTCTAGTAAGGAACAAATTATTTTTATCTCAAGTAACTCAACATTCAATAAACATACATAGTTCTCTATAAGAGAAAAAGTATGACCTATTTCAATAAAAAAAAAAAAACCCAAAAACTGAGGCTGCTGTTTGCACCTGGACTTGGCTAGAGTCCCTGGGAAGGACAAGGAGCAGAGGTGGAGGGATGTGGTGCTATACCAACCGGGTAAGGGCAGATCGCTCTAGGCAGGGCTCATCCTGCCATACCTACCAGCCTTGGCATTGGGCATTTTTCACACCTTGATTTTAATTTCTTCTAAAAACCTTACAAAGGTTCACATACACAGCGATGACATCTCATTCCAAATGTCTGCCTCATTCTACTAATCCTGAGCGGCTTCCAGAGACACAGGACAGGACTGCTGTCCTACCCACGTGGAAGAGTGATTTCTGAAGATGAGACTGCTCTTAAAATTCCTACCAGTGTGCACGTGGCTCCAAACAGAATGATGCCAAAACCAGGGCTGGAGATACAAAGAACATTAACGCAAACCTGTGGGCGCCCCCAAGTATCCAGGCGTGGGAGGGAATGGCAGTAAGCAAAGCTAAGGTTAACTCCTAAAAATAGACTGAAAGTGCTCATCTTTTCTTAAATTTTTAAAAATCTTTTATATACTTGGTACAAGGTCTCACTATGCAGCTTGGACTCGTAGTGATTCTCCGGTCTCAGCCTCTCCAGCGCTGGGATTACAGGCATGTGCCACCACATCCCATTTCAGTAGGTGGCATGGGAGCACAGAAGCATGGGAGCATGACAGCATGGGAGCACGGGGGCACGGGGGCATGGGGGCACGGGAGCACGGAGGCAAGGGAACACGGGGCATGGGGGCACGGG